GGCGTCGTCACTTCCTGATGACGTGCACGTGGGGGTGGGGTTCCATCTGGGGCCTGATCCGCCGGCGGCGGGGGACAGGCCTCTGGGGCGGGGGTTTCCCCGCCCCCCGGGGGGACTTGGCAAGCCTACTACTCCTGGTGATTTTCCTCTCAATTGCTTTGAGTGCAGCTTTTACTTTACTTTCTAAAATTGCAAGTTCTTTACCGAAAGATTCTTCTTTGAAGCAGTCTGTGATCCTTTCATCTGTTATGTGTAGCTCGTCAGTGTATTGTTGATTTATTTTGATCAGATAATGTATTTCCATGATCTTTCAGCATCCCTAGCCATGCATGAATTTATTTATTTATTTTTATTTAAAACATTTTAATTCTGCTTTTCTACCTGATCAGGGTCCACAAGTTTTTTTTGATTTCTTGGAAATTGTGGAACAGATCTCTCGTTGTTCCTTTTCTATTCGATTTTGTTTCTTTGCATTGTTTATTATAATAGTTCTTTTCGTCTCTATATGCAAGCCACTGAAAAGGTACATTTAGAATTCTGTTTCTGTTACCTTTTACTTTTGCTTCTCATCTATCTTTAGCAATTTGAAGAGTTTCATCAATCATCCATCAAGGGTTTTCCTTTGGGGGGGGGGGTGTACAGGAATAGTCTTTTCACATTATTCCTTGATGTCTCTGGTTTTAACCCACAGTTCCGCTGGTTTACAAATGCAAATTTGTTATGTCAATCTTGAGGAATATTATATTATATTTTTGGCACTATGCTGATTTAAGTGTTTTTCTTCAGCTTTATTCTATTTTTTTATATTAACAGTTTGTGGTCTGTACCACTGTTTGCTCCTGGTCTTGTTTTAGCATAGAAAATAGAGCTTCTCCATCTTCTCCTTGTGATCTATTTGATTTCTGTATTGACCATCCAGTGACATCCACATATACAATCTGCTTGGTTGCCCAAAGCTTGTGTTTGCAATGAACAAATTGTTGGCTTCACAGAATTCTGTGTTGGCTTCACAGAATTCTGTAAGTCATTCTAATGCTTTATTCATAATCTTAGTCCCAGTTTTCCTACAATGTTTGATTCTGCTTTGTTTTCTACTTTTGTATTCTAGTCGTAATAATTATCAGTGCATTTCATTTAGATGTGTGATCAGTTTCTTCCTGGATGCTTGCATAAAAACTTTCCTTTTCTTCCTCTTCAGCATCTATAGCTGGGGAGTAAATTTGAATTATGGTTATGTTTCCATGAAGTTTTATTAAGATTATCCTGTCAGACGTTGCATTATAGTCACTGATTGCTTATGTTGCTTCTCCCCTCACTATTAAAGCAACACCATTTCAACCACTATTTCAAGTTCTAAATAAAAACCACTCACGATCTGTAATGTATATATATTTGGATATAATAAAAGAAGCTCGTATGAAGCATTGTTGCATAGTCATTTGGCACACTATACAAGTCGGGTGTTAGAAGTAGTACCCAGTCCTAGAGTTCTAATTTTTGTTGGAGATAATAGGTAGTCCACAGTTTAAGACATGGGATTGGATCCCAGAGTGGATAGCAGGGGATGGATTAGGGAGCAGTCCTCACAACCCCCCTTCTTGCTGTCCTGGGGGATCACCGTTCCTCACACAAGCAGCATTTTGGGCTATAGCAGGATGAGGGAAGTAAAAAAAATTCCTTTCCATCTGTAGAAATTTCCAGTGGGACCAAGGCAATGATATAGAACAAAGCATGTTTAATAATAAAATATATACACAGAAGTTTAGCATAGCAATAAAGATAGTTAGCACAATAAACTTGTGTCTTATGTAGCTCACATTCCATTCCTAGTTTTGTTTACTTGGACATAAGTTCCAGTCAACTATGAGATGCACAGGTAAATTTGATTGGAATTGAATTATTAAGCTGCTTTAATAATATAATATACAGTTAACATGTTTGTTTATCTGTTTTAAACCCACCATTTTACCTCTGTTTCTGATTAAAGGAGCTTTAACTGTACTCAAATCTTGGTTCTACTGCAGATCAACACAGCTACCCTCCTAAAACTAGTTTTACCTTTGTTTATGAATGTTGGGAAATCTTATAATGGATAGCCACCTCTTTGATTATTCTGTAAAGAATCCAAGCAGTATATGCTTTTTTTCCTCTGTAGCCTTTCAGTTTTCAATTGTAAGTAGTTTCTTGCGAGTAATGTAGTAATGCTTATTAGTGCCAGGGAACTAAATGCTGCCTGTCTCCTCCTTTGAAGTAGCTTTCTCCTTCGGTCCCCACCTGATTAAATATCCCTAGATGGCCAACTGTTAATTCTTGATAAAATATTGTTCAGAAAAGTAAACATGATATATATTGTTCTTAGTGTACTTATGTGTAAAATGTCTATGTTTAAAAAGGAATCAATTTTGTTATTTTCCAGGTAAAAAACTTGGCATTAAAAATAGAACAGGAAACACAAAAGCGCTGCCTCACACAGAATGACCTCAAGATGCAAACACAACATGTCAATTCACTGAAAATGTCAGAGAAACAGCTAAAGCAGGAGAATAATCATCTTCTTGAAATCAAACTAAGTTTGGAAAAACAAAATAATGAACTCCGCAAGTAAGGCAACTCAACAATAAAGTTGTTTATCATTTCTGTTCAGTATCTCATTAGAGCTGATAATGATTTGCTAGTAAAATAAAGTTAAGGTGCTTTGCAACCACTCAGGAAACAGTCAGGTTTGAATCCCCACTCTACTATGGAAGCTTGCTGAGTGACCTTGGGCCAGTCACACACTCTCAGCCTAACCTACTTGACAGGCTTGTTGTGAGGATAAAATGAATGAGAGGAGAATGATGTAAGCCACTTTGGATCTCCACCAGGGAAGAGTGCACATGGGCCACTCAGAATCTGAGTAACTTTCTTACACTTCAGATCTCTGCCGTTTGAATTTCTTTGGTGTCAAGTTTGCGTGTAGATTAGTTGATTCACAAACCAGCCTGACATGAATTTTTTGTTCATGCTGAGGTGGTGTTTAGCAGCAACATTACTGCAAGTACATATATATGGAATTTTTAGTAAATCGGTCATTGTGAGGGGCAGCCAGGTCCTACTTTACTCCACTTCACATCATTGGGTTAGATTCAACCCATTGCAAACAGCAAATTAGCAAAACAGCAACCCCTGTGCAACACGCCCCCCCCCCCCAACCGTGGAGGTTGAGTAGATCTACTGGAACAGATGAGGATACAGTTGGGCTGCAGCGGGAAGGGAGAATTGGCAGAAATTTCCACCTCCACTCTTGTGAGCTCTTGTTCCCTTCATGGAAGACTTCACACAAGAGTACAAAAGGGTGCAGACAGCCAATTGGCTCTTTCTTTCTGCAGCTTTCACGTTTCATCCAATACTACTCTTAAGGGTCCTTAGTCCTCTGAATCACTTTTTCAGGGATGGGGGGGGGCTGCAATACGAAGGGGAAGGATTAAATCTGCCTTTCACAAATTTGCTCTATTAATTTATTGAACTGCAAGAAGAAAGGGAGGATTGGGAAGTGGAATATAATTTATTCTTGCTTGACAGAAGAACTACATAATAATTTCTGTGTATTTATATTCTCTTCTGAATAGGGAACGCCAAGATGCTGATGGACAAATGAAGGAACTTCAAGACCAGCTCGAAGCAGAACAATATTTTTCAGTATGTGCTGCACATAAGTATCTTATTCTGTTCCTATAGTTTAATATAAAAATGTTATTTCATTTCTGCATCTTGTAGCTTTATCCCCTTGGGAATGTTGTTTCCCCATGGTAATTAATAGAGTTTTGACCAATTGCGTTGTTTTACACTCATGGAACATGGCTCTGACAACTTTGTTCTGCATGTGCTTCATAATAAGCATTGTTAGCACACTGCAATTTCTCATCAAGTGAAAAAAATTGAACTCATGTTTTCAAACTTGCAGTGAGTAGAAAAGGTAATAATGATACATTGGGGGGGAGGGTGTTTTTATAAGACATGTGGAAATTAAGAATTGTTTATTAAGCCATAACTACATGGCTACAGATAGACTCGGGTTGGTAACTGTGTTGGTCTGAAGTAGCAGAACAAAGTTTGAGTGTGCACACACACATGAAAGCTTATACCTAGAATAAAACTTTGTTGGTCTTAAAAGTGTCACTGAACTCAAAAGTGCCACTAGACTCAAACTGTGCTCTACATGGCTACATTTAGAGTTTAGTTGAATTAACTGTTACATACTTTCATTCATGATACTATCATCAACTGATGTGTGGCTTCAGCTGGCTGCTGCTGGCACAGTGACAAACAGCTGTGAAGATTCCATATATTCAAGAAGCATTAAGAAGGGGAAGGATTAAATCTGCCTTTCACAAATTTGCTCTATTAATTTATTGAACTGCAAGAAGAAAGGGAGGATTGGGAAGTGGAAAATAATTTATTCTTGCTTGACAGAAGAACTACATAATAATTTCTGTGTATTTATATTCTCTTCTGAATAGGGAACGCCAAGATGCTGATGGACAAATGAAGGAACTTCAAGACCAGCTCGAAGCAGAACAATATTTTTCAGTATGTGCTGCACATAAGTATCTTATTCTGTTCCTATAGTTTAATATAAAAATGTTATTTCATTTCTGCATCTTGTAGCTTTATCCCCTTGGGAATGTTGTTTCCCCATGGTAATTAATAGAGTTTTGACCAATTGCGTCATGGCTCTGACAACTTTGTTCTGCATGTGCTTCATAATAAGCATTGTTAGCACACTGCAATTTCTCATCAAGTGAAAAAAATTGAACTCATGTTTTCAAACTTGCAGTGAGTAGAAAAGGTAATAATGATACATTGGGGGGGGGTGTTTTATGAGACATGTGGAAATTAAGAATTGTTTATTAAGCCATAACTACACGGCTACAGATAGACTTGGGTTGGTAGCTGTGGTCTGAAGTAGTAGAACAAAGTTTGAGTGTGCACACACACATGAAAGCTTATACCTAGAATAAAACTTTGTTGGTCTTAAATAGTGCCACTGAACTCAAAAGGTGCCACTGGACCCAAACTGTGTTCTACGTGGCTACATTTAGAGTTTAGTTGAATTAACTGTTACATACTTTCATTCATGATAGTATCATCAACTGATGTGTGGCTTCAGCTAGCTGCTGATGGCACAGTGACAAACAGCTGTGAAGATTCCATATATTCAAGAAGCATTAATGCAAATGAAAACCCTCTCTAGAATCACACTTTCTTGATCAGTTGATTATACCACTGTTCACATCAGTTTTCCTTTAAAAAAAATTTTCAGACTTTATACAAGACACAGGTTCGGGAGCTTAAAGAAGAATGTGAAGAAAAGACAAAACTTTGTAAAGAAATGCAGCAAAAGATGCAAGAGTTGCAAGATGAAAGGTGAGCTTTCAGCCATTTGCTTCTTGTCCATATGTAGAGTTGCCAACAGGCTTGGAGAAAAATGTACTGTGGCTTTTAATAGAGACTAAATGCATGGAAAAGGGCAGCAGAAGATTTTCACAGCATGGCAATAAGTACCATCACCTGGTAAATAACAACCCATTAAGCCTCTGTTAAAAGGGACAGGGTGCTATTTCTCCAGGTAGTTGGCAACTCTGTAAACATAACAATATGCATATATTCAAGTTAAGAAATGGCATGGAATAATTTCTTCAACCATGTCTTTGCCTTGCAGGGATTCCTTGGCAGCGCAACTTGAGATCACACTAACCAAAGCAGATTCAGAACAGTTGGCTCGGTCCATTGCTGAAGAACAGTACTCCGATCTGGAAAAAGAAAAGATCATGAAAGAATTGGAGATTAAAGAAATGATGGCTAGGCACAAACAGGAACTTGCTGAAAAAGATGCCACAATAGGATCTGTAAGTGGTTCACATCAAGCCCCTACTGTAGGTTTTGGGGGGTTTTGCCTACTGGAATGTCTTTATTTACAAGCAGTCCTCTAGTATTATGATTTAGTCCTTGCAGCCTGAAACAGTACTCAGTTGTTCAGTACAGCAACTGGATATCTGTTGGGCAAGATGTGTTGCACAATGAAAAAGTGAATTGGTAAGTGCTCAGAAAATGTTTCCTAGGACTGAGAGTATGTATTGTTCACACTTGCATACTTTAACTTATGCCAGACAAATATGAGAAGCTATTCAGTCATGTCCTCACTAGAATCACTGCATATAATTTATTATTACCTTTTGGGCTTTGTTTGTTTGTTTGTTTGTTTTTCAAATTTATATTCCACCCTCCCAACGAATGGGCTCAGGGTGGATCACAACAAGTGTTATGCCATGCGGCTATGTAACACAATAATAAATGATCGGTTAAAACCTTGAAACACCATTTGAAAACAAACTACATCAATACTGGTGCTACAGGGCTCTAAAATTCATTTAATTCAGGCTGCACACAGATGGTGTCTTCAGCAGGGGGCCTCAACCAAAGGCCTGGCAGAACAGCTCCAATTCACAGGCCCTGCAGAATGATAAAAGGTCCCGCAGGGCTCTGATTTCACACAGGAGCATGTTCCACCAGGCTGGGGCCAGGGCAGAAAAGGCCCTGGTCCTAGTCGAGGCTAAATGGACGTCCCTCAGGCCAGGGACAACCAGCAGATCTTGCTCAGCAGAGCTCAAGGCTCTCTGGGGCACATATGAGGACAGGCGGTGTCGGTCCCAGGCCACATAAGGCTTTGAAGGTCAATACCAAAACCTTGAAGCGGATCCGGTACTCAGTCGATAGCCAGCGCACCAGCTGAATGTGTGCCCGCATAGGCAGTGCAGTTAGCAGGCACTGCATTTTGCACCAGCTGGAGTTTCCAGATCAACTGCAAGGGCAAGCCCACATAAAGCAAGTTACAGTAATCAAGCCTGGAAGTGACCATTGCATGAGTCACTGTAACTAGGTCCTGGAGGGAGAGGTAAGGAGCCAGATGCCTGATCTGCCGAAGATGATGAAAGGCAGACCTAGCAACTGTGGCGACCTGGGCCTCTATAGAAAGTGAGGCATTCAGGACCACCCCCAGACTTCTCACCTTCTGGGCTAGCACAAGTAATGTGCCATCCAAGGCGGGCAGCCTGATACCCAACCCAATCCCCCCCCGACTTACATACAGGACCTCCATCTTAGTTGGATTGAGTTTCAACCAGCTCTGTTGTAACCATCCAGCCATGGCCTCCAATGCCCTGGTCAGATTTTCTGCCTGATCCAGGCAGATAGAGCTGGGTGTCATCCGAGCCCACAGTGACTGCCAGCATTAGTTTTATCAGTACACCCTGGGTTATTTTTAAATACACTGTTTGGGAGATTCTGGTTTCTGTTCTTCTTCTGATACATATTCTGATCCAAAGGACATTCATCTCTGAACCTGTGTTTTACCTGTCTACTCCCCTATTCTAGTTTTTGAATCCTAGTCTCTGACTATCTCTAATTTTTTTACAGCATTGCATTTTCTTTTGTGTTTGACTCACTACTCATTCCATCATGTATTTTTGCAATTTCATTGTTATATCTTCTGTCTGTTAAGCTTTGTATTCATCTCTTCTCTGCTTCCCACAGAATTTTGTTTGCTTATCCTTTAATGGCCTCATCCTCCTGTGTTCATTTTGTCTTATGCTTTTTTCATTCAAGAGTCCTCTTCCCAAATGGCGACCACTCGTGGTCCTGTGAACAATCTCTGAATAGTTTCGTTCTTCCTTTCTTTCTATACTCTTCACGCACCCCATTCCATGAGTGACACATTCCTGTGTTAATGTCTATATTTTAGCTGGAAGAAGCGAATAGGACGCTCACCAGTGATGTAGCTAACCTTGCAAATGAGAAAGAAGAGCTGAATAATAAACTTAAAGAAGTCCAAGAACGTGAGCATTCTTTTATTTTATTTTTCAAAAACTAACTCCTATTTGAGCAAAGATTGTTTTTGATCGTTCTGTTTTCTTGTTTCAGAAATTGCCAGAATGAAGGATGAAGAAACAAATATAGGACTTGTTAAGACTCAATATGAGAAACAGTTGTTTACTGAAAGAACCCTGAAGACACAGGTAAAATACAAACCAGAAATGCAGCAAGAAAATACTTCACTGTCATAGGAGGCAGGGAGAGAGAGAGGGAGAATAGAAGGGGTGGGATAATATTGGCATATGAAAACCATGTAAATATCTGTAACTTTAAACTTGTATCATGGAAAGTATCCTTAACACTACTGTGTTTTAAAAATGGTGATAACACATACATTGCCTTTCCTTCTTAGAGAATATCTGGTTTATTATCGCACACATTCCTGTGGGTTGTGGGCAATTTCATCAGATGTACAATCTGCATGTTTAGAGATATTGTTTATGTTAGTATTTGGTCACTGAAGTAGGAACATAATCCCTAAATAAGCAGAACAGTGTCTGCAAATACATTAATGTAGTAGATGATTTTAAAAAATCTATGCTGTCTACAAGTTTTGAACATGTAGCCATTGTACACCAATCTTGTAAAGTTGGGCTGACATGAGTAATATAAAATTGCTGGCATTTAAGATTAAGAAGAAGAAGAGATTAAACCCTTAATCTGATCCTTAGGAAGTAATTTATACATAAAACCTGGCTGCATTTTGATTCCCCCCCCACACACACTTCTAACTCAAACAAGCAAGAGCCTCCTTTCACAAATTAAGCTCTGTATGGCTTTCCAAGTAAAAAAAAATAGCCACCTGGATTATATTATTTTATGTAAGAAAATGACTATTTAATAGTGACTACTATGAGCTGAAGACTTGACCTCTGATTACATTTCTAATTTAGCACTTTTATTTTCCTTCCCTTTCTCCCTTTTAAAGGCTGTAAACAAGTTAGCTGAAATTATGAATCGCAGGGATCCTGTCAAACGAGGAGCTGACACTGATGTCAGAAGGAAAGAAAAAGAGAACAGGAAACTGCATATGGAGCTGAAGTCTGAGCGTGAAAAATTAACCCAAATGATGATCAAGTATCAGAAGGAGATTAATGAAATGCAAGCAGTAAGTACTTTTCTGCAAGTGGTTCTGGGACCAAAGCTGCTGCATAGTCTGCTGAAAAAGAAATTACTTCAGAATAATGCTTCTGAATTTCTCAGACCTTGTAAGCGGCGTTATATTTTAAATAATTTAGTCTTGTTCAGTGCATTCCTGATTATAATGGCCACAATCCCTGTTGCCTCTTAACGCCTTCTGTTTCATTCCTTGGGTCTTGTGCAACCTGTCTTTGCTCAAATACAGGCCATTTTGTAAGCATCAAATTTAGGGTGTATATTTTGTTCCTCATGGGTGGGGGCTGGAACAGTGCTCTATGCATAAGTCTACAAAGAAAAAAATTCTGAACATTGTAGTAAATGTTTATTACTGAATTGATGTTTGATTTGTACTTACTATTATCCTTTTACAGCAAATAGCAGAAGAGAGCCAGGTAAGAATAGAATTGCAAATGGCCCTGGACAGCAAGGATAGTGATATTGAGCAGCTTCGCTCACAACTTCAGATGATACATATCGGTCTGGACAGCACCAGTATAGGCAGTGGCCCTGGAGATGCAGAAGCTGATGATGGATTTCCTGGTAAGGCTCTTCCTTCGTTAACGTAATTCTGTTTTGTCACAGAAATTAAAACACTTAAAGTGGTAGCTTCTGTAACTTGCAAAAATATAATAGCAATAGTGTTTTCTTCTCATTTCTTCTCTCTGCTTCCAACATTTTAGCAAAAAGAAAATCTGTTTTTTTAAATGAAGAAATAGATTAAAGCTTTTTTGTGTATATTTGCTCTTGGTTCATAACTCTTGTTAATGGCTGAGGAAGAAAAATAGTATCTCCAACTATTTTTTCATTAATCTTTTTTCTGCACTTCCCATCCCGAATGCTGGGTCCTCAGTTCGTATTACTCAATCCCACACAACGGAGTCTATGTCTTTTACCTACCAACGTTCCTCTACCTCTGTCAGTATTGCCACTAAGCCTTCCAGTTCTCGTGTGTTTCTCAACTCTGACTCTGACTCAGAGGAAGAACCATTGTCTTCCACACAAGTTCCTTCAGGATCTGACAGCCCAGGTGACATGCCTGAAAAGCATTTAGTGGCAGAATGCTGATGCTTGAAGGCCATCTCTCTAATTATTTGTTACTAACATGGAAAGCAGTTGAAATCAAGGGGGAGTGTGCTGCATGAGGAAAGGAGTGGCACTTAAAAGATCCACTGATACTTATTCTAATTAGACGCTGTGGATGCTATCTGGAACTGTAGACAACACTCAAGCTGTTCCACTTATAAGCAGTGGTTCCCACCCTTGGCAAAAAGAGCTGCAGATAAGAGAGTGAGGGTTTCAAACTTTAATTGATTTAATCAGTAGATTTAATAGACAAATTTGTAATTGGAAGCTGAGACTGAAAGGCACACTTGGCTTTGGTGTATTAAATGCTATGTCATTTCAGATTTGGTTCTATATTTCCACAGACACCTATGTCTATTGTGAGATTTTGGTATTCAAATCTATTAAAATATGATTAGTTGATAGCCAGATGATGAATTGGCAATCTTTAATTGACTACCAGCTCCAGAGAAAATGCATTTGGATTTATTTGTTGGAAAAGCTGGTTCTCCAGTGGCCCTGGGAGTGGGGCAGTCCTCACTTTCCTCCTTTCTGGAATCAGGGTCAAGTAGCTGAATTCGATCCCGGAGGGGAGGGACTTGCCCAGGTATCCCCAGTCTTTTCAGCCCTGCTTTCAGAGCAGAACAGCAGCAGCGGCATTCCTTTTGAGCACAGTGATCCCGGGAGACGTGTCTTCAGTCGGAAGGCAGGAAAGCAGGTAGACGAGATGAAGGCTCTCACGGGAAGAGAAGGGCTGGTTCCCTCCTTCCCCACATCGCACAGGAGCGGCAGTGAGCCTTTCAGAAGACTGATAGTCACAGCCACGGGTCCTGCCAAGGTCCCTAGCCTTTGGGCTGGAAGTACTCCCCTTTAGTAATCTGGAGGGCATAGTAGAGTCAGCAGCAGCCTACGTGGCCATTCTCACGGCCATGCTTTCACAGGCTTGAAAGGAGCAGCTCCACTTTGACTTGTAGGAACAGCCCCAATACAAAGGCCCTGCCTGAACCCCAGTAAGGCCAGCCTGGTGGTGGTGGGGGAATCATCCTTTCTGTGGAAGGCAAAAGACATAGGTCTGCTAGGTTCCCTCTGGCCTCTGGGAGTAAGGGTGCCATTTTCTTTCCTTGTGAGTGACTGCTTTCTCTTTCCTTTTGGAGGCAAGCAGTTTTGGTGGGAAAATGGTGATGAAGGCGAGGCTGTCCACTTCCCAAAGCCTAGAGACTGTGATTTAGACCTCTCTAGCTCTTCAGCTTCCACCTCCTCCCCTACTTCCCATCGGTCTAGGGAGGGAGAAAGAACCTATGACATGGATTTGTCAGAGGAGGATGCCAAGGCAGATCTCCTGGCATGGATAAAATCAGAGATGAGGAGATGAGGTAGTTCATGCAGGAATCCAGACAGAACAGCAGCTTTGTGATAGGCCCTTCAAACAGACACAGGAGGCACCACAGTAGAGACGTGCCCCTGCAGAAAGGGAAATTAGGACAGCGCATCTATCTCTCCTCCTAGATCAAAAAAGAGAAAGGTAGAAGAGCCCGGATCCCATAGAGACTGTAGTCCTTGTTAGGCCTTCAGTCTGAGGACCAGATTCCTCCTCAACCAAAGAGAAGGGGGGGACTATTGGAGGAGAAGGAAGAGAAGGTGATGACCCCAATGCAAAAAAGGTTTTTCCCCAGGATCTTTATGCCAGGCTACTGCCAAAGGTACTGA